CCGTTTGCATTGGCTCTTTGAGTTATTGTGCGAGCGTCAATCGTATCGCTCTCTAAGCAATGTTCGGTGAACGAACTTCACACGAATTAGTCAACTCAAGACGCTCAATAGAAAACGAAAACAAGAAGAACCGAAGTCGCTCGCTCAGAGCGTAAGGAATCAAAAAGTACGCTGTTAGCAAGGTATGATAATAATATATTATCGTATAGCTATGATAGAAGTACTTGGAATTTATTGTACTCCACTTATACTACATTTCCTTCAATTTACACCCTTAGACTTTCCACTTTCCCTCTCTCTCCCTCTTTGCCTCCCTCTACAACTTTTCATAATTTATGGCTATATCTGCCTTAAATCATAGCAAGAACACTCCACCCTTAACACACCTATTAAAGCCATAATAACAATATATAATAAGATGTCAACTGTCAGAGCTTACAGGGTATTGCCCTATCAAGTACACATAATTCAGGCGTTGCTTAAGCGTGTTGCTTTTTTTTTTTTTTTTTTTTTTTTTGGCTAGCTTTTGGCCAGAGGATAGGATATCAGAGCCCTAATCTGGCAAGCAAGGCGAAACCGAACCCCATTGTCCGCTATCTGCTGTCGCCGTTAACTCCTTTTCGCATGACGCTGAGGTACTGTCAACAGCTTTGTAATTAGTTGCCTGTTTTTGTGTGTGTGTGTGTGTGTGTGTTTTTTCTGTTTTTTGTTCGTTTGGTTCGTTTTTCTTGCTCTGCACTCCATGGTCACCATCGCTCTTCGGTGCTGTCGCTGCTAATGTCAGCGCTAGATTGATGGCGATCCATTTTTTAGTTCGCTGCCATGCGAGATGGACAAATGCTGACCATCATTTTTGAGCTGTCTGCTGTCTGATGTCTGCTATCCTCGCAGGCGGCGTCGCATTGCGTATACATAAGGCTTTAATTAGCCAAGTGCCATTTGGCTCGACTCAGCTCCACGAATGCTCAATGCCAAACTGAATTCAGAATCCAGATTCCCGAGCGCTGAATGGCAAAATGATAATGAATTGTGCCCAGAGCAAAAGCGTATCGCAAAATTCAAATATTGTCAGCGGGTGGAAATTGTTAAATTGAAATGCGTTTGCGTTGGCAAATTTGCATAACAGCAAAAATTATACTACTCTGCTCTACTCTCTTTCACTCTATTCTTTCTCTCTCTCTCTCACTCTCTATCACTCTTTGTCTCTATGTATTCTTCAAATAAGCATTGCAATTGTCATAATATTGACTAAACTCACTTTTGAAATGCATATTGAAATAAATATAAAAATATATTTCCCTTTAGAATTTTTAATTTATTCAAATATAAATCTCTCAATTCTGTATACACAATATGAATAAGGGAGAGAGCAAGAGTGAGAGAGAGATAGTGAGGTAAATTACTAAATTTTCACACTCGGACAGGCAATGCATACAAAATATGTAATAATAAAATTGTAGTTTTTACACAACTTATGTGAACAACTGGTCAGTGTTCGGCTGATTAGATAAATTATAGAGAATATAAATTTGCATAGATAAAAAAGGTTTTAGTATAGAAATTATTTAAAATAAAAATTGAATTTTAATAACTTTAATTAGAGCAGTTTATGCTTTGAATATAAATAATTTTATTTAAATTATTATTATTTTTTTTTTTAATTTCTTTATATTGTACAAAATTTTTATTTGAAAGACTTTTTTGATTATTCTGTTATTTATACAATGAATTTAATTAAATTAAAATTTATTTCAAGTAAACATTGTATGTATATAATTTATTTTTGTGATTTTTAAGTTAAATTACTATATTTTGCTTTTAATAATAAATAAATTTATCATAAAAAATTAAAAAAATCCACAACATAATTAATACTAATTTATCATAAACTGAAAAATATTTATTTGAAAATAATTTGAAATATACCAGTATATATAGCAGTATATTTTAAATACATTCACATATTAAGTCCGGTTTTCATATCAATTATTTCGCCCTTACAAACTCGTCTGACATCTAAATTGCTTTTGATAGATTCAAAATCCTTTAGAATTCTGAACAATACACCTAGCTGGAGCTGGCTGTCAATAACAGGGTATTTACAACAACAGTTGCCAAGCGAAGCGTTGACAAAACCCCAAAGAGGTAAAAATTTAACGGAATTGCAAATGCTGTTGACACTTGCACAACGCAAACAATTGTCCGCAATCTGCTGCTCTCTCACCTAGCTACAGCTACAGCTCCAACTCCCTTTCCCTTTCCCTCTCACTCGCACACACTCTCCCGCTTTCTGTGTCAGTCACCTGCCCTATTCTGCTCCGTCAGACTCGGTGCTTGGCTTTGGGTTTGTATTTGAAATCTGGTCTGGGTAGCGTTTTGGCAATTTTCATGTTTGCATAGTTTTTGGCAACACTTGATTGCCTTTTGGCTTTGGCCGGAACGCAGAGCCAACCTGGCTAAACAAATCCAGCCAGTGAGCTTGACAGAGCGCCCATATCTGCACAGCACTTTTGTTGTTGCTAAAATTTTTTATTTTTATTTTTTTATCTGTCATCTTTTTTTCTTTGTCGCCTTTGCGTAATCAAAAACCAAAATTTAAATAATTGCAATAAATTTTTTCTTATTTTCTCATTTTGTCATGCTGACAAATTAGATAAGTTAGCTGTGTATGTGTGTGTGTGTGTGTGTGAGCGAGTGTATGGGAGTGTGTGTGTGTGTGTGAGCGAGTGTATGGGAGTGTGTGTGCGTGGCACATAAATCATATTTAGCTTTGCGGCGCCAGCGAACATTCAATCAAAGTGCAACAAATCCCTCAAATTTGTTATGCGTCACGTACAACTGTCAAGTCGCAGATGTGTGTGTGTGCGTGTATACGACTGTGTGTGTGTGTGCGTGTTTGCCATTTATATGAGACTTTAAAGTCTAGCGAGCCTAAAAGCTAATACAAACACACATATCTATAGATATTTTAATATTATTTAATGCAAAGTGCGGTCTGACTTGGGCTCTTGTTTATGCTTATGGAAATAATCGTAATAGTAATCGTTATCGGAATTGAAAATCGTGTGCCAACCACCCGACCGTCTTAGCATTTGACTGGGTTATCAGCTTTACACTCAACTGAATATATTCTGGGGTATTTGTAGATGCCAGCCACGGCTTATTAAATATTAAATTGATAAGGCAGTGACTGACTGAATGACAGTTTCTGTTGTGGTTGTGGTTGCCTTTTCCTTTTTTTTTTTTTTTTTTTTTTTCCTTTTTTTTTTTTTTTGCGGATGCCCTAAACTTATTAAAAATTGGAATGTAGGATATTATGTATTCACAGCGTTGTATGTGACGGGCTGCAGGAGGCGTGGAAGAGTAGAATACATTAATGTGTGTATGTATATATTGTAGAGCCTATAAAGTATATTATTTCTGTGGATGCACAGCTTAGATAATCTGGGCATGTCTTACATCTGTGCATCACTTCATCTGTAAGTATTTTTGTAGTCGTTCTTTTCAGAGAGTATGAACTAGATATGCAGACGTTTTATGTAATCGATAAATTCTTAAATATTCATGAAGTCGAATAAAATCGATATAAGCCTAAAGTCATTTAGATATATTTGATAACTGTTGAGTGCTTAACTCATTAAACTAAATATTAAGCATACGCACATATGGCGCACTTTTAAGTAACTGAAAAGGGTATCTTCTAGTCATGCACTTCCTCGGCTAGACTACTCCTTTTGTGCCCATTCTTTTTGGTATTCGCATTTGTTGCCTATTTCGCTTGTTGTTGTTTTTGTTGTTGCCTAAGCGGCTTTTGCTCGGCATTCGCGTGTATAGCACGTGCCACGCCCCCGCCCATTGCCCAACTGGGATGCTCTCAATACAATGCCGTTGTATGCTAATATTGCGGGCATATTTTTCATGTCGCAATCATTTTGTGTGCCATTTTTTTTTCTTTCTGTTTTTTGTTTCTACTTTATTTTATACTTTTCATTGTTGTCGTTGTTGCTGTTGCTGTTGTTGGCATTGCTTAAGCGTTGATTGCAAGCATTTGCATAATTTAAGATTGTTCTGTTCACTGACACTCGACATACTCATACACAGACACACACACACACACACACATACAGACACATACACGCTTGCAGAGTGTATTCCAACATGGTGTCCCCACTCTGGCGGCGCATTAAAATGAAAATTCCAAGCTCAGTCGACGCTCGTTCAAGATTAACATATTTCTTTGAAGCTCCGGCTAAATTATTAAGGTTATAAATAGCAGTGTTGGTAGCCAGTGTTGTATTATACCAAGTGCCCATTAAGTGAGTGTAATGGTTATATTAAGATATTCTGCAGGCAGCAGCAGCAGCCGCAACAGCAACAGCAACAGCAATAGCAACAGCTAAGTCAATTGGAATATGACTTAACAAATTAAACGAATTCATGTGAAAAAGATCATTTCTCGCTTGTGGGTGTGTGTAGATTAATTATATCATACATTAATCTGATTCTTGCTTTCTTCTCTGCTTTAATTTCCTGTCATATGATATTGTAGAGAATTTGTTTTTACATTGTTTTACGACTTCTCTTTCATTTCCTTGTTATATGTATCTCTTATTTGCCTCCATCTATTTTGATCTTTATATTTCTCTCATATATATCTCTTCCTTTTGCATTCTGTGTCATTTTATTCGTTCCTTTTTTTTTTCGATTTACTCTCGCATTTTTTGCCATTTCTTCTCCTTTAATATTTAGCCTTTTTTGCTAGTCACTTCTTCTCATTCTCTCTTTATCCTGTATAGCTTGTCATTCACATTTTATACTTCTATAGGGTATCTGCCACTGCGAGCAATCTCAGATTAAACAACTTTATTTTATTGCAGTCTCTGTTCTTTAGTTTCGTTTCTGCTTTTGCAAATATTGAATGACAAAAAAAAAAAAAAAAATCAAAAGAGAAATAAAATAAAATAAAAGTTTCTCATTTCCATTTCAATTTCTTATTGCAGTTTCAGCCGGTGGCAGCCGGTGGTGCAGCCTGAGCAAAAATAACCACCACGACGACGACGACGACGCCAACGACAAATTCACCTGCCTTTTGACAGCGACAGCGATTGGAGGGAGGAGCCGGCAGGTAGCTGTAGGCGGCAGGCGGCGGTAAGCATCCTGTGCTGTGGGCATGTCCACAGCCAAAAGACTGGTGCTCTCGCTACGTGGACGTAAAAATTCGCAGGGCAACTCGGCGACATCGTCGACGCGGCTCGTATCCGCTGGCACCTCGCCGGGCCATGAGCTGGACGAAATAGCCGTTGTCTCCGGCACCGGTTCGACTAGCCATCATTTCTCCTATGGCGGCTGCATTGGCAATAACAACGACGCCATCAGCGCCGCGGCTGTGGCCTGTTATTCAACAGGTAAGCTAAGCACACAAATACATGCATAGATATATAAGATCTAGAAGTGTATTATACACACACATACACACACACACACATACAGAGACACACGCTCTACCCTCCAATCCAACCGCAGCTCCTGTGCACCCACAACAAATGAAATGTTCATCTTCCAATCCAATGCACAATGCAGTTAAACCACCAATCAGAGAATCATAATCGCCAAAATTGAATTTATAGACTTGGCCACGCCCACCACCCCACCTTGTACACCTTGTAAAACCCCACGCTCTCTGCATGCATTCGCATTTGTTGTGTAGATTTTAGTGGCGCATCTCTTAAAGATCTATACACATATATATATAACAATTGCTTATCAAGTATATTTTAATTATTATATCATTAGAGGTTAGAAGAAATTTACATTAAAATAAGTCAGTAAGCGATTATAGGGTATAGGGTATTTTTATTAAAATTAAACTCTTAACTTTCATGGAAAATGGATTTTTCAACAGAAATGAAATTTGTATAAATATATATAAATATATATATTTATATATACTTGACTCGTTCTCTCCAGCTATTACCTTTGTCTGCATTGCAATTTCTTTGAATGACCTGATTTTCTGCTCCTTTATTTGGCATTTAAATTTTTCATATAGCTCTGGCTTTGGCTTTGGCTATGGGTTTGGGTTTTTCGGTTGAAGCGAGAATTGCATTCGACAGTTGCAAACAACTTTTCTTATTTTCCTTATTTTTTTTTTTTTTTTTTGTTTGTTTGTTTGCCATTGATTGGCATTTCGATAATGTCAGCCAAAATAGACAAAGCCAGCGCCGAGTCAAAGGTGCGATGCTAAACGATGGCATTTCGCATTTGCATATTTAATGCAGTTGACTGACTCTCAAATGGCACAACTTTAATGCCATCAGCAGGAGCAGGAGCAGGAGCAGCAGCAGCAGCAGCATCATCATCATTGTCAGCCAAGCTCGCAACGGATTAAGTTATGGAAAATCGCAATCTCAGTGAAAAGGCAACAGTTTAGACACTCACCTTTCACCTTTTGTTATGTGAACTCATAAAAGCAAATGGTAATGTATTAAGCTCTGCATACTTATGCAGTGACACCATAAAAACTCCAGCTCAAGAACTATAAAGTTCATATATAGATACATACATATATAAATTGGTATTTAGATACTTTGCAACTGTGGTGCAGTATTTGTTGGTTTTATATAGAATTGCAGTCGATGAACTTAGTAAGTAACGAGCAAGAAAAACAGCTTAGGCAATGCCAAATGTCTTTGAATAGTTCTTGATACAGCTGAATGGCCGAAAATGGCTAGATATTTGGCATTTTATTGTCACTAGAATATAGCGTATAAAAATACTATAAAACTAGCACGACAGATCGATAAACACATATATATATATAAGCTATAGAAATAGTCTAAGGCACTCTAAAGCCTTACAGGGCTATAGCCTTAAAACTCCAAATCTAGCTAAATTTACGCTCAAGCTTTATTTAAAATCAATATCAGCATTCGCTGTCTAGAATTTCAAACAGGAAAACAGCTAAAAACCTGATATATACCTTATATATTTAAGATATTCAAATCAAGCCTGGAACAGTATCTAATGGCAGACATTTCCTTGAGTTCGCTCACGATTGCATAATAAATAAAATGGCCATAAAGAGCAGCTGGCTGGCAGGCCAGGTGAGCAGCAGCTAGCTGTAGTTCAAGCTGTAGCTGCGACTAGCCTACGTGTGAGCTGCTTAGGCTGCTCTGATTTGACAAAGCGCCTTAGCCGGGTCGCCCATTTAGTGGGTAAGTTGTATTTGTGAAGCTTGTCTGTCACAATTGAGCCACAAGTCTGTTGGCTGGCTGGCTGCCTGTTTCTGTTGTTGGCCTGCACAAATCTGGCGCTTTTTGTCTTATGTGCGTGTGAGTGTGTGTGTATGTGCGGAGAAGGCAAAATAAATCAATCAAACGACAAATATGCTTAGACAATTGCCGGGCCAGGGCGCTGGCTATGGCCTACAGCTTGTGTCCTAATTTCATTGCCAGGCTGCCAGTAGTAAACTTGACACAAACACAGACACGCAGGGACACACACACACACACGTACGCAATGCCTGGCGTTGTCTTTGGGCTAGCCACAAACGTAGTTCGTTTCCTTTTGCGGTTGCTTGGCTTGTCACATTTTATAGGCCGCATATGTTGCGACCATTTTTCTTCAGCCAGCTGTTGTTGTCTTTATTATTGTTGTTGCAGCACGTTCACTTTGGCTTACAGTTAATTTTGAGCGAAATTCAATTTATCATTGTGCGGCCCATAAATCCAAATTTCGTTTGCCAGGCCAAAGAATCAGAGCTGCTGCTCCTCCTGCTGCTGCTGCTGCTCCTGCTGTTTCTGGCCGTGCAACCTGGCCTACTAAAGTGGACAAATGAGATTTATGTGAATGATTCTGTTGTCGCATTCCATTTGTTTTCAACATCAGTTAAAAGTGACTGCAATTTGTAAGCCAACAACAACAAATCCAACAGCCGTAAGCAGCGGCAGCGGCAGCAGCAGCAGCAGCAGCAACAGCTTCACAAAATGAGGGTCAACGTGACGTATGCGCAATATGTTAAGGACTTCAGCTGCAATACATAATGCTATGTGTATAAAGTGCAAGTGCTTATACGTATATGTATTTATATGTGAGTGTATGATGGCGAGTGTGCGTGTGTGTATGTATGTGTGTGAGCTGTAAAGTTTTTCAGGCAGTGCTATTGACATTTATCGCTTGGTGGCTCGAATTTAATGACTGTTAAGTTGTTTATGTCCAAATGCACGCTTTAACGCTTGCACTGCAGCATGGATAGTGTTCGAGCAATAAATGACAGACTATAAGTTATGCTGTAAATGAGTTGAAGTGAAGGTGAAGCTCAACTTTTGAAATCATGTAGCAAAAATCAAAGTTGACTTTGTCTTGACTGAACAAACAATTAGACTATGTAGATAGTTGACTATCAGATTATATATATATAATATTTGCATCTGTGTATATCATATATTGACTCAATATCGGTTATTTTTATGTTTTTTATGCATATGTTTTGAATGATTGTATCTCCAGACAGCTAAGTTAACTAAACTTTGACTTGACTAAATGATCAATCGAACTATCTAGTTATCTGTCTATTAATCTATATATAGTCATTCAATTTCACTTGCGTTTAAGAGTCTTTATCCATTTAAATTGAGTGACATTACATACTCTCCGGCTAGCTAAGCTATCTATGCCTCGTCTAGGCTTTGCCTTGACTGAAAGACCAATTTCACTATTAAGTTATCTGTCAATCAGTCTATATATGGAATATAGGCATCTCTATTGACTCAGTTTCATTTACGTTTTATGCTCTCTATCCACTTTTATTGAATGACGACATTACATGGCAACTCCTGCCAGCTAAGCTAACTCCTGCTTCCACTTAGCTATAGGGTATTTTTGCCGTCAAAAGCACAGCTTCGGCCGCAACCACAACAACAGCACCAGAGGCAGCATCAGCAGCAGCAGCAGCAGCAGCAGCAGCTGCTAAAAATAAAACGAAACTTTTCAACTTTTGGCATATTTTTTTCCCCAATTTTCTTTCTCTCTCTGTCTCTCTCTCTCTTTCTTTCTTTTACGCTCTGCCAATGAAGTTGACAATTTTTAGCGTGTACGTACATTGCTCTTTCAAGACTATCAAGCGAACTCCAAAAGTATGTGTGTGTGTGTGTGTCAGAGTGTGTATTTGGTCGTTGACAATAGCAATTTGGTCGTGGCTTTGATCAAAGTTTATTTTTCCTTTTTTTGTTTTTTGTTTTTAGCCTGCTATAGCATAGCTAAATTGAATTTGACTCTTACAAAGAGGCAGCAGCTGAAATGGAACATATTTTCGGCTCTATTTTGTTTCTCTTTTTTTTTTTTTTTTTTTTGTAATTTTTATTTTTAAGAGCTGCACGTGCGAAATAGGCGTCGAATAATCTAATTTGGTGTGCGCTGTTTTTAGCGTCAGATTTTATTAATAAACGAACGCTAAAATCAGGCGCGAGCTCGTCGCTTTAATGCTCTATCTGAAGGGGATGAGCAGAAAAATCCAGTTGGGCATTAGAACAGAGTATATAATATATATATATATATATATATATATATATATATATATATTTTTTTTTTTTTTTTTTTTTTTTTTTGTAGCATTTTTTTATGTTGTTATATTTATCAAGCTACTATAATTGCATTGTTCGGACTCAACGCTTAAATATAAAAAAAATAAAATGTTACATTTATTATATATTTATTTTTTTTTTAATATTATTTATTTAAAATTTTATATTTAATGTTATATATTTTATATTTTCTAATCGAAATATTCGTATATAAATAAATCAAAATTTTTATTGCATACTTATTTGGGCTAAGTCAGAGAACTGCAAGTGTGTCAAATTTTGCCACCTTACTCGCAGCGTAGCTTTTTATATGTGTTGCTATATAGCCTTCTCTTATATTCTTCTCAATATATATACATCTATAAAATCTCGCTCTTGAATTTATCTATATAGCCATCAGATTTGCTGTTTTAAAGCACATTTCAATGCTTGGCTTAAGCTGCAAGCGCTCGACTCATCATCAAGAAGGGCCAAGTGCATGTCTTTGTCTATTATTGCATTTCACTCACTCTATGGCTCTCTCTCTCTCTTTCTCTCTCGCTCTACGCCTGCCTTTGTCTGCCTGTCCGTTCATGCCATAATTGAGCTTAGAGGTCTTATGGCAGCTGCATCATTGATTTGGCTGCCCAATACCCTGGCTCAGCTCTACCTAGTGCTACCACCTGCTATCCTTCCATGGCTGGACAGCAACGTCAAAGTTTTGTTGAAAGTATTTTTTTTGTGTGTTGTTTTTTTTTCGTTTTGTTTTCTTGTTGTTTTTGTTGCTGCCGGACCGTTGCGCTGGCTGTTGTCAGCTTTGGAGGCGAACTTCAGCAGCAGACATA